GGGCGCCAAAAGAGGGACGGAATGAAACTTGAATGACGTTGATTAAAATAATTTTTATTTTAAATAATTAAACTGACTTGTTAAATTCTCCTGTGGTGAGTTGGCCGCGGAGAGCTGGCGGTGGGGGGGGGGGGGGTTGTCCAACCCCCCCCCCCTACTGGGCCCATCCCTCCTTCAGCCGCTGGTTTGACTACCAGACCCAGCGTTCTGTGCCGCTTGGATCCTGAAGGTGGGATTGCCGTGTCCGTCCCTGGCTCCAAGCAAGCACAGCCTGGGCTCCTTTCAGGCACCTTGGAGGGGGGGGGGGGGGCTCTGGGCTTTGGCCCCCAAAGGGAGGGGCTCTGGGAATCGGGCAGGGCAGGGGTGGGATTCTACCGGTTCGGACCGGTTCAGGTGAACCGGAGGTTAAATGTGCATCCGGTTTGACAAACTGGTAGTTGGACCAACCACCCGCCCCCGCCCCCCCCTCCCCTCCCCTCCCCGGAGTCTCCAAGTGGCCCATTTTGGAGGCAGGGTCCACGTGGAGGCTCTGGGAGGGGGGAAAATGGGCCTGTTTCCAGCTTCCAGAGGGCCTCCAGAGCCCGGGGGAGGCTGTGGTCGCCCTCCCAGAGGCCCAGGGGAAGCCTCCTGACTCTGGGGAAGGCCAAAAACAGCCCACCTGGAAGTTCTGCTGGGCCCCGCCCACCATGGCCACACTGGGCAGCAAACCGGTTGCTGGGATTGTTGAATGCCACCCCTGTGGCAGGGACAGTGTTAGGAATAACAAGGTTACCTAACGTAGTTCGGGTAAAATAATATATATAAACTATGATAGTAAGTTTAAGTGTGTGTCACTTTAAACTGCAAAGCATGTAATTTTGGGTGCGGTTGTAAAACCGCCATAAGAGGGAGCAAGAGAACCTGCCGGATTGCTGACTATGCTGGATTGATGGTTTGCTAACTGCGTGTTCCCTGCTCCTGAGTTTTTTGAACCTCGAAGGAAGAAAGGAGGTTTGACTTCTTTATATCTCTACTGCGAGGAGATATATTACTGGACTGATATTTGTAAGTTTATTGACCTCTTCTTCGACACTGGACTTTGCAACTGAATAATCCCCAAACGGACTGAACTAGTGAATGATATATGGACTGTTTGACTATGATAAAACTTTTACTGGAATAAACTATTTAACTAGCACAGTGTATCTGTTTTACTGAGTGTAAGCTACAAAAACGTTTATCTCACATATTCGCCTGCCTGCCTGACTGCCGTGCAAATTCTGCTAGGGTGTATCCCTAACAGACAGGCTCACCCTCCCCATCCACGAACCATCCCAGGCAAGCCGTGGAGGAAAATGGCTGCTTGCAAACAAGGTTCTCAGGAACCTCCCAACAGCAACATCCTCTTGGACACGGACACACACACACACACACACACACTCCGCCCCGCCCCCCCGGCACCTTCCGCTTGGGCTCCACGTGCAGCAGGAGGTTGTTGACAATGTCGAGGATCATGGCGTACTGGGCCGGGTTGGTGGAGATCTCCAGGTCGTGGTGGATCAGGGTGAAGGTGTCCACGGCCCCTGCAAGGAATAAACAGAGTCGGAATGGGCCTCCGAGGCCTTCTAGTCCAACCCCCCGATTCAAGCAGGAGACCCCAGACCATTCCAGACATGGGTCTGTCCAGTCTCTTCTTGAAAGCCTCCAGGGATGAAGCACTCACAACTTCTGGAGGCCAGCAGTTCCACGGGTTAATTATTCTCCCTGTCAGGAAATCCAGGTTGGATCTTCCTTGAATGATCTTCCACCTGTTTCTTCTTGTCCTGCCTTCGGGTGCTTTGGAAGATAGCTTGACCTCCGCCCTCCTCCTCTCTGGGGCAGCCCCTGAGATACTGGAACCCCGCTATCCTGTCTCCCCTGGTCCTTCTCTCCCCTACACTAGCCAGGCCCAGTTCCTGCAACCGTTCATCGTATGCTTTAGTCTCCAGGCCCCTAAATGAGTGGTTGCCAACCGGTAGGCTGCGGAAAAACTTTGGTGGTCCGCAGAGAAATGTCCCCCCCCCAAGAGCACCCCCCAAAGCAATTAATCCAGGCTGTGCAGAAACTCAAGGCTGCGCCGTCCGCATAGACCGCAGGAACCCTCCCCGGCCACTCACTCCTTACTTGGCAAACTTGCCTGCTAAATTGCTATTTTTCCTTTTTTTTCCCCCGGACCATCATCTGTTCTGCTGTGCCGGGAGATTTAGATTAACTAGAAAGCAAGAAATGGTTGGATTTCTTGCTTTCTAGCTAGTCTTTAGATCTTCGGCTCTGCTTTTAAGCACAGCCGAACCTCCCTTAGGACTGAAGGTCCTATTATTCAGTTGCAGACTCAGGTAGCCGATGGCAGAAACACAGATCTCTAAGTGAACCTGAGATTCTGTGAGCAACTCAATCCGCCTACCTCCTTTGCCTGATTTTGGGTAAAAGTTGCTCTTTTTTAAATAAAAAATTCAGTATTTACATACATGGTGCGTTGTGAGTTAATTTTGTGAGTTTGCTGGCAAGCAAATTTTATGTGACAGACTCAGGAAGCCGATGGCAGAAAGATAGATCTCTGAATGAATCTGTGATTCTGTGAGCAACTCAATCTGCCTGCCTGCTTTGCCTGCTTTTGGGTAAAAGTTGCTCTTTTTTAATAAAAAAAATTCAATATTTACATAAATATTTATAATATTTACATACAAGCCATGCCCAGCCAGTCACACGACCACCAAGCCACACCCACAAATTAGGCCACACCCACAGAACTGTTTAAGAAATTTGAATCCCACCCCTGCCTCTGTGTGTGTTTGTGTGTGTGTGTGAGAGAGAGAGAGAGGGAAGGAGATTTGATCTCTCTCTCTCTCTCTCTCTCCCTCTCCCCCTCACCAACGTCAGCAAGCCACCCTCAGTCAAAATTCATATTAGTGGTCCCTGGGATTTCAAACTATGAGTTTGGTGGTCCCTGGGGCCCAGAAGTTTGGCAATCGGTGCCCTAACTCATCTTGGTTGCTCTTCTCTGCACTCTTTCCAGAGTTATTCATATGGTGCAGGATTCCAGGTGTGGCCTTACCAAGGCCTTGCAAAGCGCTATCACCACTTCACTCCTCCCTCTGTCGATGCAGCCTAGGGTTGCACTTGGCCTTCTTGCCTGCGGCTGTGCCACACGGCTGGCTCCTAATTTAGAATCTTTTTTGAATCTTGTTTTGTATCGTGGCGACCAGAACTGGAGGGGGAAAGGGAGGGTGGGGAGGTGACCTGGACGGAGAGCCCCCCTCCCCCCCCAAAAAAAACCCCTCGGCGCCCAGGGGAGGGGGCCGCCCACCTTCCTGCTTCTTGAGAAGATCGTCTTTCTCCGGGTTGGCCGGCAGCTCCGGTGGTTTGATCTGGGTGGCCAACTCGGGGTCGATGTCGTGGCTGTAGCTGATGTAGTACATGCGGCAGCTGCAGCGCGAAATGATGCGCTGGACCTGCTGCGTCGGCTGCACCTCGTGCGGCTGGTTCCAATCTGGCGGGGGGGGGGGAAGAAGGCAGGCAGCTGGGCGAGGGGACGAGGCTCTCGGGCCACCAGCCAAGGGACCAGGGACTTCTGAGCGCCCGGCAGGGCAGCACCCCGGACCTGCTGGGTCGATCTGGTGGTACCGCAAGTGGGGGGGAGGTGCTCACGGCCGGCCCACCCTCTCCTGCAGCAGGGCGTCCCTCGGGGCGTGGCGCACCCCCCTCCCCTCCCCCCCGTGCCAGTCCTGGGCAGGCTGGCTGCTGACCTGTGGTGGTGCTGACCATGCCGCCCACCGCTTGCCCGCTCTCCATCAGCTCCTGCACGGAGTCCAGGCTGCGCTGCGGATGCTCCTCGATGTTCTTGACCTGCGGAGGGGAAGGAGGGAAAGGAGGGTCAGCGAGGAGTGTGGGAGAGAGCCAGGCCCAACCTGGTTGGGGTGTGTGTGTGTGTGTGTCTAGGATAGAGCCTGCCCTCTGCGGACAAAGAGTTCCCAATTCAGAAGAGCAGAGTTGGAAGGGACCTTAGAGGTCTTCTAGTCCAGCCCCCTGCTCAAACTTGGCCGTCCAGTCTCTTCTTAAAAAACCTCCAGTGATTTTAGCTACCCACCACTTCTCAAGACAAGCTGTTCCACTGGTTGATTGTTCTCACTGTCAACGGGGATACAGACTACAGAATAACAGTTTGAAGGGACCTTGGAGGTCCTCTAGTCCAGCCTCTGCCCTAGGCAGGAATCCTTAATAACATTCTGGTCAAATGGCTGTCCAGTCTCTTCTTAAAAACTTCTGGTGGCCAGCAGTTCCACTGGTTAATTGTCCTCATTGTCAGAAAGTTTCTCCTTTTTTCCAGGTTGAATCTCTCCTTGTTCACTTTCCACCCATTATTCCTTGTCTGGCCTTTGGGTGCTTTAGAGAATAGCTTGACCCCCTTCCTCCTCCTCTCTGGGGCAACCCCTCAAATATTGGAAGATGCTCTCCTGTCTCCCCTGGTCCTTCTCTTCCCTAGACCAGCCAGGTCCAGTTCCTGCAACAGTCCATCGTATGTTTTGTCCTCCAGTCCCCTCATCATCCTGGTTGCTCTTCTCTGCCCTTTTTTTCTAGAGTCTCAACATCTTTTTTTATAGTGTCGTGACCAAAACTGGATGCAGGACTCTAGGTGTGGCCTTACTAAGGATGGATGGATAGATAGAGATGACAGACTTGATATAGATGTATAGAGATGAAAGATAGATATGTTGATAGATTAGATAGGTAGGGAGGTAAGTAGATATATAAATAGATACGATAGACAAACAGACATGATATAGATGTATAGACAGACAGACAGAGACACAGATGATAGATGGACAGAGTAGACTAGCCAGGCCCAGTTCCTGGAACCGTCCATCTTATGTTTTAGCCTCCAGCCCCCTCAATCATCCTGGTTGCTCTTCTCTGCACATTTTTTCTAGAGTCTCAACATCTTTTTTTACAGCGTGGTGATCAAAACTGCAGCAATGCAAGTGAGGCCCCATAAAGAGGCCAACCTCCCCCCCCCCCCCAGCAGCAGCAGCTGCAGCCCAGCCTGGCTTATCCTCTGACCGGCCAAGCGGTCATTGGGCCCTACCTCCAGCCAGAGCTGGACGTCCTCCCGCTCGGAGGGGCTGCTCTCGGTGGTGGCGAAGTACTGCATGCCGTCCAGCAGGCACGTCCAGGAGGTCTTCTGCTTGAGGGTGTCCCCGTACCAGGCTGGGTGGTGCTGGCACTGGAGCAGCTGGGCTTTGGAGGCCGAGACAATCACGCAGCCCTCCGTCTCGGCCCCGCGGAGAACCATCTGGAAGGCAGACAAAGGGGTGGGTGGGTGGGTGGGGTGGAAGTCACATGGGGCAGCCCTCCTGCAGAGGGTGCCAACTTGTAAAAGATCCCTATGCCCGTTTCCAAGTGGCCATGAGACAAACCGGGTATGCTGCCCACCGAAAACCCTTTGTTGGAGAATGTGATGGATGACACCCAGTCCATGAACGTGTTTTGTTGGAGAAGCTGAATTATTGTACACCCAGAGGGGTTGGGAGGGGGGGGGAAGACAGGGCCGTAGGTGATTGGAAATGTATTATGTATACCGTATCTACCGGACTATAGAGCGCATCGGAATATATGCCGCACCCGCTAAATTTTAAAAGAAAAACAAATATTTTTACACATATTAGCCGCACCAGACTATAAGCCACAGATATATATATGCGTCGAGTGCGCCAAAAACTACCGGTAGCATCTTCTTCTTCGCATTGACCTCTGGCGCCTGTCACGTTGTTGCGCCCCCTGATGGCAGTTAGCCAAGAAAAATCTATAGATAAGCCGCGTTGTTGTACAAGCCACAGGGTTCAAAGCGTGGGGGGAAAAAGTAGCAGCTTATAGTCTGGTAAATATGGTAAATAGAAAAAAAAATCAATAAAGCATTATTTAAAAAAAAAAAAGGAAACGATGTGTCTCAGAGTCGGCTTCATACGGGGCAGTGCCGGCATGTCGCTCCTCATAAATCCTTTGAAGTTTTTGAAGCTTCGCTCAAGATGTCAACTCATCAAACATTCCTAGGTCTGTTTCAGTCGTTGCCATAAAAAAGGGAGGGGGAGGAGGAAGGAAATCTGGAAGAGCCGCGCAGCCGTTTGGAAGCGGAAGTACATTCCAACTCTTTATCTTTAAAAGGTTGTAACTAAACTACCAGAGCTTTTGCCCCGTGAATATATTGAATTGGAGAACGTGAACGAGGACAACCAGCCCGTGAAGATGCTCAGTTGGAGGGTCTGATGTATGAAACCACCCAGTGGGGAGGGGGTGGGGAACAGGGTCACAGGGGACTGTGAATGACGTGGGCCAGAGTTGGCTTCACAAGGGCAGGGCCGGGATGTCGCCTCAATGAAATCCTTTGAAGTTTTTTGAAGTTTGGCTCGAGGATCACGATTTAATTAGGGCAATCCCCAGAGTCCTGACACAGGACTCTTCTGCCCAGCGGGGCGTGGTTTTTTTTTTAACAGGTACTCCTTGACTTACGACAATTCATTTAGTGACTGTTTGAAGTTGCAACGGCACTGGCTGACCATTTTTCAGAGTTATGACGGTTGTAGCAACCTCGCGATCAAATTTCGGGATGCTTGGCAGCTGACTCGTACCTATGACGGTCGCAGCATCCCGGGGTCACGAGACCCCCTTTTGAGACCTTCTGGCAAGCAAAGTCGAAGTGGGGAAGCCAGATCCGCCTACTAGCTTGACAACTGCCGTCATTCACTTCATAATTGCGGCCAGAAAGGTTGTAAAACGAGGCCAAGCTCCCTGGACAAATGTCTCACTTGACAGCAGGAATGCTGGGCTGCATTGTGGGCATAAGTCAAGGACCACCTCTATTGCTTTTTTTTATTTTAATTCCTTTTAAAAAAATAATTTTAATTTCCCCCCCCCTAAACTGTGTTTTTATTGTTTGTGGAGACGCTGTGAGCAAATAGCGGCTATATAAATGTTCTAAATTAAAAAAAAGTTTCTAAATAAAGGCACCGAACAGACTTTATGCTCATTGGCAGCATCCCGGGGGGTTGCGTGCCACGTTTTAAAAATATTTTTGTTGGTTTCGGGGGGGGGGGGGGGTCTGGCCCCAAACCACCCACTGTATAAAATGGATGCAGCGAAGAGGCCCCGGCGTCTGCTTAATGGTTGTGGGATTCACTTAACCAGCACCAGGGAAAGGGTCGTAAAATGGGACAAGTGCAAATGGAGGCCTACTCAACATATACAAGGTCTTACAGACCCTAATTTTGGGCTCAATTACCGTCGTAAGTTGAGAACTACCTGGATCAGAGGAGGTCAGCTTTTACTAGACCAGCAGGCAGTGTAGAGCAGGGTGACTGGCCTTGGCCCCTTTAAGACCGGTGGACTTCAACTCCCAGAATTCCCTAGGCAGCAGAGCTGGCTGGGGAATTCTGGGGGTTGGAGTCCACCGGTCTCCAAGAAGAATTGGGCCCTGCGCTCCAAGAACTTCAACTCCCATAATTCCATGGGCTGGCTGGGGAACTCTGGGGGTTGGAGTCCCCCGGTCTTAAAGGGGCCACCCCTCCCGTGGAGCAAAGACCTGGCAATTGACGAGCTCAATCAGGCAGTTGCGGTTGAAGATGTCATCGGTCTGACAGGCTGCGATCCCGCACAGCTGCTCGCTGACCCCGGACTCCTCCTCGGTGAAAACCACAAACTTGTCTGTCTCCTCAATCAGCTTCTGCAACATGGAGGCCCCTGCAGGAAAAGTGGAGGAAGAGGAAGAGGATGGCATGGCCCTCTCCGAGGCCCCATTTAGTGGCGAGGTAGGAGGGCTCCTCCATCCTCCAAAATATTAAACAGACACACCGGGAGCCAGGAATGAACCTATTAAAACCCGGCCCCCTCCCCGGTAATTCTTCCTCAAGGATTGGCCACCCCCTGCCTCCAATTCTAGCGGCCCTCTTTTGTTCGGAATATGAGTCACCTAACAGCTATTTGGGTTAGAAATATATAAACCAGGATAATCATTTTAAAACTGTATCTTTAAGAAAATGCAAAACTGCAATTAGGTGTGGTTTCTCAAACGGCCATAAGATGGAGCCAGAAACCTGGGTTGTCTTAGTCTGAGTCTCAGAAGAGAGTGTGAGTGTATCTCCGTTTCCTTCTGTTGGAAAGTATTGCTGTTCCTCCATTTCTTCTAATTGACTGATATTACTGGATTTGATGTAAGTCTGATACTCAACTGTTTTTGACTCTGGACTTTGATATTGGAATTATCCCTGAAATGAACACTAACTGATTTAACTGTGAATGACTTTGGATTGCCTATTCTGAATTTTGCTTAAACATTTCTGGAACTAAAAACCTACATTTACTGTACAGTGTATCTGTGTGCTCTGTGTGTGTATTATTCCAACACTTCTCTCAATTACCTCAACACCTTTCCTTTCTGTAAACTGCCCTCCTAAGGGGCTTCATACTCGGTGGGGCGCTGGGTGCTCTCCCCATCTAGGGAACCCCATCAGTGCTAGAAAGGAGAGAGGTGTGCCAGGAGGCAGAGGAGGAGGAGGAGGAGGAGAAGGGGAAGAGGAGGAGGAGGATGACTGTGGGGTCCTGGGGGGCTCTCTGAGCTTAGTGGCTTCCTTGCAGACGTTTCATGACCCAGCTAGGGAACATCATCAGTAGTAGAAGGGAGTAGGTGGGTTGTGAAGAAGAGGAGGAAGGAATGGTGGTAGAGAAGGAGACTTGATGAAGGACGGGGGAGGAGGAGGAGGAGGAGGACGACGACTATGGGGTCCTTGGTGTTCTCTGAGTTTGGTTTTTTTCTTGCAGACGTTTCCTGACCCAACTAGGTAACACCATCAGTGTTAGAAGGGAGTTAGAGTAACATCATCAGAGAGGGGTTTTCTTTCCGTTTGCCGTCCCAGTTGCCCCCCTTTGGCAGTTCCTTGACCGGGGTCCTGTTCTCTGTTTGACTGGATACTGTATGTCACCAGGCAGCAACTCCCACTCTGATGTTGTTGCATAGCTGGGTTGTGAAAGGTCTGCAAGAAAACCACCCAGCTCAGAGAGCACCAAGGACCCCACCCCCAGTCCCACCCTGAGCCCCGAATATTCTCTCCTAGGGATAATGTCATCCACGCCCAACCACTCCCGGGCAGGCAGCCCTTTGCCCCTTCCTGATCCCACACAGTGACCCCGGGGGTCAGGGCCAAGGGCGGCTTCACCTCCGGAGGGGCTTCGCTCCGTCCGGCTGCTGCTTGCCGGCACGATGACCCGCAGGGGGGGCTGGTGGCCGGGGGGAGGGCCTCGCCTGGGCTTCTTGGTGGGCAGCTGGGGCCCGATCCTCAAGCCCCTCAGGGCCTCGGTGGAGAGGTTGCGCTTCAGCACCGCCGACTTCTTGTAGCCGTCGTAGAGGCCAAAGGCGATGTCCCGGTTGGTGGTGGTCCAGGAGGCCCGCAGGTCCACCAGATGCAGCTGGTGGGTGTGGAGCACGTCGTCCCCTTCCCGCAGCAGAACCTCCTGGGAACGGAAGGGGCAGGGTGAGCCACGCCCTGGTTTGGAAACTAAAAGAAACTTCTCAAACTTGTTTTGAAACTAAGAAAATCCTCAAATCTGTTTTAAAACTAAGACACTTTTAAAACCTCTTTTAAAATTACAAAACTCTTAAAACTTGTTTTAAACAAAAAAAACTTTAAAACTTGTTTTAAAACTAAAAAAAACTTTTAAAACTTGTTTTAAAACTAAAAAAACTTTTAAAACTTGTTTAAAAACTAAAAAAACTTTTAGAACTTGTTTTAAAACTAAAAAGGTTTTGAAACCTGTTTTAAAAGTACAAAAGTTTCAAAACCTGTTTCTAAACTAAAAAATAAAATAATAATCATTTGGCAGTATAGGGGCCAAGCCAGTGGTGGGATTCTACTACCGGTGAGTAAAAAATGCAACCGTCCGGCTGAGCCGGTATTTCTTTCTTTCTTTTTCCCCCCCAACGATCAGCTGTTCCAACCATCAGATTCCGGTTTTCCCAGATGTGTTGCCAGTGCGGCTTCTTCAATAAATTCTTACTTGGATGAACTTTGTCTCTGAGGGCTGAATGAGAAGGGGGGGGGGGG